CCCCAAAACCCCAAAACCCCAAAACCCCAAGTGACAGAATTTAATGATCTTGTGAGAATGAATTGTTTTGTTTAATTAAAACATAATCACGATGAAACATCATTCCGAAGCTTTGTAAACTTCTATTTCTATTACTCTGAATGAATAACTTCCTGCTAAATATTAACGAGTTAAATCATCTTGAAACTTCTGATTATTTATCATCGTATATGTCATGCCTAATTCAGAAGTACTTTCTACGTGAGCATTGCATTTATCCTTTATTCTAATGTCCCCACTAAAAATCATTAAGTATTCTTTGTCATGTCCAACTGCATGATCAAAGATTCGATATTTAGTATGCAGAGTTTTATTAGTCAAGCTAAATATAAATGCTTAATGATCTTCTTTTGATTAATAAGTATCAGTAGATTTCCAAGAGACAGATGTATATCCACCAAAAACTAAACCTTGCTCACTCAATATAAATGTTATAGTTGGGCCTTTATTATCACATATTTTGTGGAAATCAGATGCTTTATATCCATCTCTTGTCGCCTTATAAAGTAGAGTAGTTTTGACAGATAAGGGCAAAAATTTAGGAGTAAATATGTATTAATTATCCATCAACATTAATTGTTCATTGACTAATCCTCTAAATTTTTGATATTTTATAATTGTTTCTGAATCCATCTTTAGCAATGTCTCTTCCTCTAGTTCATCCTGTTTTTCTTTTAGATCATAGAGGTAATTTTCTTTTTTTTAGCAAAGTTGGCTTTTGTTTTTGTTAGTATTTCTATTATTTAATCCTTTTTATTAATCTTGCTTTTAATTTTATTATTGATTTACGTTTGCTTGATAATTTTTTGTTGCACCAACTTGAATGGAATAATATCTTTTCAATTACTACGCAGGGGAAATAAGCAAATCTTGAATGTCATTAGGATCTTATTATTCAATCTTTCTGATAGATTATCGGCTTGAATCATTTTTATCTTAGGAGTTTTACAATTTATTATTTGCTTAGATCAATTATCGAGTCTTATAAGAACTTGTCAATAATGACTTCCTTTTTAGTGCACGTTAGTTATCAACCCTTACATGGACTCTATAGACTTTAATGCCTAAACCTATTAAAAGGATCGAAATAAGCTTATATACATCAAGAATGTCGAAAACCAAAAGTAAAATCATTAGAATTATTAGCATCTAGATCAGATATTTTATTAGAGAGTTGTAAAAGAAATTTTCTTTGAATGCGCTTAGATTGGTGCATGTTGGACAATAGATTCGCATGTTTCTTACCTATCTTTACTGTGAATTATAGCATTCAAGACATATCGTATCTAAGCAAGGGAGAAGTATTACATTTTTTGAAGTTAAATTGAAAAATGATTAGCAACCAGGGCATTAGAAAGTTTGCTTTAGATATTCCATCATGAAAAAAAGTTGACTTAATCGAATTCACTTAGTAAGAAATTATTATATTCACAATTAATACTAGGTTAAATGATCATTTATTAACTTTTGATTTCAAAACATTTGTGATTCATGGGGTTTTGGGGTTTTGGGG